CTTAACCGTTGATTTTCGTCCATCCAACGGTAATAATTTATTGAGTTATGTAAATTAATTAACTATTCAGTTATAATTTCCGTCCATTAACGACTGAGATGAGGAGTAAGACTTAAAAGTCTTACTCTGGAGAGTCAAAATATCTCTCGTCATATATATATATATATATATATATATAGGAAAGGTTATACTAACTACTTTTTTTCTTATTACGAAATCTTAACAGTTGATTTCTATCAATTTAATGGTTATAATTTATTGAAAATTAATAATTAATTAATAAGTGTGACCAATAAATTATAACCGTTAGATTAACGGAAATTAACGGTTAAAATTTGATAATAAAAAAAATATATATGTAAATATAATCTCTCCCTCTATATATATATATATATATATATATATATATCAAAGCTTTCTTTGCTCGTTGAAGCATCTAGGGTTGCCGTAATTTTGGCCTTCTGATTCAAGAAAGTATAATTTTCTGGATCAGCTGGTTTGATATGTTTTGGATATTGTTTAAAAAGTTAATTTACACCTATCTCTGTATTACTATGGAACCAAATGATGGTGATGATATCTAAGAAATACAATTGTTTTATTATCATGTTTAAATTTTTTTCCTCTAAGTTCTCTTTCAAATCATCCCAGCCATCTTTTTATTTTATTATTCTTCAGTTGAGAGAAGTACAGAAAGTCCCACCGATTACCAAAAAACAAAAAAAAAGTCCCACCAATTTTGGAAGGAAAAAAAAAAACATGGTTCGCTTTTCGATCTGAGAGTGAAACATTTTTCAGCAACACGAAAAATGATTTTACCTATATATATAATGAAAAAAATGTTTGTCCACAATCATTTTAGTTAAAATTATTATTTTTATTTAATATTTAAATTAAAAAATCTCATTTTCTCTTATCATTTTTGTTTCTCTCATATTAAAATATAGTAGTTTTGATTAAAATGACACAATTATATATTCTTTAAAAAGATAAACATTAACCCATGTATAATGAGATTTCTTCTACTATAACTGTCACATGACATTTTTCAAAACAATTATTTGAATTTTTTTACTTCCATTATTTGTCTTTTATTAAATTTTTATTTCTTTCATTTGTATTTTTCTTAACCTTTTTATATTTTTAACCTTTTATATATTTTTTAAATATTTTTTTATTTCTAAAATAATAGCAATAAAGTAAGAAGATAAAAATATATTTTTAACAAAATAATTTTATTTAAAACTTTAAAGGAAAATTTATCAAAATGTAATTAGGATTGAATCAAATAACAAGAAAATAACGAATAATAATTATAAAAAGAATTTATGTCGGAAATTTTTTGATCATATCAAAATACTATAATGACTTACATGCATATACAGAAAAAGTATATATTTAAATTATTATTATAAAAAACAATAGAAAGTTAAGTCATATGATTACTTTTCTTTTAATATAACTTTTTTGGGGAAAAAATTAAAATATTACTATTTTAATAAATAATTACGAATACATAGTTGTTTCGAAACTATCTACAGATCTATTGTACTCATTCACGCCCAAATTAGGTGTGACTCCCAAGGCATTCACGTCTAATTTAGGCGTGAATCATCTCGTGTTGACACATAGCAAAAAAGTCAACTTACGAACTGTAAAACTTTGGAAAGCCATAACTTTTGACTCGGGTATCCGAATGAGGTAATTCTTTTTTTGATTCCACATAACATTTCGAGATCTACGCAATGACATCTCATTTGATATATTTTATCTCTCACAAACACAATTCAAATTTGCAATAATTGTATTATATAGTGTATTACCAAAAATATTTAAAAAATTATTATTAATAAGAAAAACAAAATAAAGATTTAATTTGTGATTTAAACTCAAAAATCAATATGAAAAATCTGTATTAATAAAAAAAATAATTAAATAAATATTCTAAACACTTGGTAGAATATTATATAAATTTATATATATTTTAATAATTAAATAAATAACCTTGTACACTATTTTTTTTCAAACACTTGGTACTATAACATTAAATTCAAAATTTAAAATTCAGATAACCTCCAATAAGTTGATTGCATTTTGTATTTAATTGGAGTAGATTGTGTTTTGTATTTAATAGGAGCTGATTATGTTGTAATTTTATGAGTTGGTTACAGATTGTCGCCAATTCAAATAAATTTGCTGAATGTTATTTGAATTTTGAATTTAATGATATAGGAGTTGATTGTGTTTTGTATTTAATAGGAGCTGATTGCGTTTTGTATTTATTAAGAAATTTGGTGCCATCTTATTTATAGATAAGTTAATCCATTTTGGTGCCATCTTTATAGTAACATTGTTGCAAATTTGAATTGTGTTTGTGAGAGATAAAATATATCAAATGAGATGTCATTGCGTAGATCTCGAAAAGTTATGTGAAATCAAAAAAAGAATTACCCCAATCGGATACCTGAGTCAAAAATTATGGCTTTATAAAATTTTACGGTTAAACTATTAATTTTTTGTGCCACGTGTCAACACCATACGAGTCACGCCTAATTTAGGCGTGAATGCCTTGGAAGTCACGCCTAACTTAAGCGTGAATAGTCACGCCTAATTTGGACGTGAATAAGTGCAATAGATCCGTAGATAATTTCGAAAGAGCTATGTATTCGTAATTATTTATTAAAATAGTAATATTTTAATTTTTTTTCCCTAACTTTTTCTATTATAGTTTATAAGATTATAAGTATGTTTATATTGATTTGTTTTTCACTAAAAAATCTCTTTTCAAAAATTTTATTATAAGTTTTACCTAAAAGTACTAATTTAAATTTTTATTAAATAAAAAATTTATTATAATAAATATTTATTTAAAAGCTTTGTCCAATAACTATTGCTTCAAGTATAAAGAAATTGCCCCCCATTATATCGAGTTCGAGCATTATAAATGAAAACAATAATCTTGAACAAAAATATCCCCTATATGGGCCAGGTTGGAAAAAAGAAAAGTTTTATATAGTACACAACCGAAGGGATGAGAATAAGTCGTACTCGTATCTAACTGTGTTGAATATATATATATGAGATAAATTTTTAATATTAAAAGTGAAACTTTCATTGTAAAATATCCTATCTCATAATTAATTAGTGATAAAATATCTTCCCTAAGTTATTCTCCTCTTGAGAGAGAAAAAGAGATCATGTATGTACGATGTGGCGTACAAAATAAAATAGTCTTTGACTAAAATAAGCTAGGGGTACCTCACATTTAAAATATAGAAAAAAGGAAAGAGGATTGGAAATTTTACATTTTGCAGTGGCAATGATGAGAATATGGAGCACAAGTGGGCGCAGGATAAGCACGTGGTATTTGCCTTTAGAATTGCACGCTATCTAGTTGCAAAAAAACAGTTCTCTCGTTGACGTTTGGTAAAGGAGAAATTTTTCTTTATCCAAAAATTTTAATTTTTAAAAATATGATAAAAATATTTAGTTTACGATAATATTCAAAAATTAAAAATTTAAAAAAAATCAGTTTCTCAAAAATCCTGAAAAATTAATGACTACCAAACCAAACACCTCCTTACATAAAAAAAAACACTTTTGGTGGGAAGAAAAAAAAAACTTAGGCTCTGTTTGTTAGCTATTTTTAAAAACAGTTTTTTGGTTTTTGAAACAAAATAATTCATTTGATAAGATTTGTTTTATAAAAAAAATTAAAAATTAAAAATTATAACTATTTTTTTATTTTCAAAATCAAATTTAGACAAGGTATATGGGTTGTTTTTTTTTTAAATTTTCAAACCAAAAAATATAAAAAATACTTACTTTCATAACTATTCTACAAAATAATTTAAAAAAAAAAAAACAACCAAAACATAATCAAACAGACATATTGGCAATTGTGTATTGGGAGAATACTGAAAGGAAACTTTAGGTATAATTATTGTAAGTACAAAGGGAAAAAAATTTAGAACTTACCGTTTGGTACACGGGGAAAAAAAGTATACGGGAATATGATGGGTATAAAAATTTACCTGGAATGTTAAAAAAAGTATTTGGTAGATAAAAATATTATCGAAAATATTAATTAATTTGACCAAATATGTGTTTAGTTGATGATAAAATATTGCTGAGAAAGAAAATAATGTTTACGAAACTACCCTTGTGATTGCACATTTTTTAAACAGGAGTAAAAAAATAAAAAACCATCGGTGCGCAAAAAATGTAAAATGGAGGGTAATTTAGACCAAAAATATGTAAAATGGATTCCAACGCTGCAGGGAGAAAAAAATACCACATCCAAAAATGGATTCTGAAATCACATTCGCTAGTGTTAAATGAATTCCAAGGTAAAAAATATCCCCAGACATTTTTCCTGTTTTCCTTCTATCAAACTTGGAAATAAAAGCTTCCCAGATCCACTTTCCGGGGCATCCTAAATATCACCGTATACCAAACAACCCTTAAGAAAAGTTATAAAGAAAAATATAGGTTAAAATAAAAAAATACCAAATTTGATACTCGCGTAATATTGAAAAACTTTCGAGTAGCCAGATACTCTTGTATGAACTCTGAACCCATTCCTTATTTTATTTGAGCATTTCAGTAGTAGTATGGTTTATTTATTTTGAACTCTGAACACATTCCTTATTTTATTTGAGCATTTCTAATTGTAGTATGATTTATTTATTCTTGTTATGATTATTTCAATTTAAAATTTTTTCGTTTTGCATAATGTTCGAATGTCGAGCTGCTAGGTTATGCGTGCAGTTTATTTGTTTAACTGATGAACTCGGTGGGGCAGTGGCAAGTTGAGCCTGAATTTGATAGGATTGCATTGCCCTTTGATCCTCTTATTTAAAATGTCAAAATCACTTCTGGGATATTACTGTTTGACTGAAAGGACATTACTTAAGTGTGTTTGATCTTCAGTGTTTCTTTCAAACCATTTATGTCATCTATCTTACCTATTTAAACTACTATATATTATTTTGCTCCCACAACAAACTTCTTGGTTTTCCTTTTCTCTTGGAAACTTTTCATCTTCTCTCCTCCAAGGAAATTCTACCTTTATTTCTCTTATATTTTTCTGATAGTTCTGATTCTGAAGTTTTCTTTAAGGGCTCTGACACTCTCTGAGGCACTAGCTGTTAGATGCACTTCTTCTGTGTTCTTCTACACTGAAATAGAGTTTCAGCTGCCTGAATTATGCAAGTAATTAGCACATGATTTAGAGGATAAGAAACTGACAGCCATGAAGTTCATGAAACTGGGATCTCGTCCAGATACCTTCTACACTGCTGAGGCAGTGAGGCAAGACTTTAACTATTCAAGTTGATCCTTTTTCCTTAGATGATGCATCTCCTTCTGGTTATTAACAGGAGTATCTTTTCTTTGTATGCAGGTCAGTCTCTTCTGAAGTTTCCAGTGACCTCATAATTCAAGTGAAGGGAAGTAGATATCTTCTTCACAAGGTATGCTTCTGGAAGCTTTTTAAATTGAGGATGTGAATGATTTAATAATAACAGTTCTTTTCTTTTCTTTTTCTTTTTTCTTTTTTGTTACTCATATGTAAATTAACTGAAGTTCATGTTGATGGTGTTCAGTTTCCCCTGCTGTCCAAATGTTTGCGACTGCAAAGGTTATGCTCAGAATCTCCTGATTCTACTCAGAACCAGATAGTTCAACTTCATGATTTCCCTGGTGGGGTGGAAGCATTTGAGTTGTGTGCAAAGTTCTGCTATGGAATTACCATCACTCTCTGTCCTTACAACATTGTAGCCGCACGATGTGCTGCTGAATACTTGCAGATGTCTGAGGAGGTTGAGAAGGGGAACTTGATTTATAAGCTTGAGGTTTTCTTCAATTCATGCATTCTACATGGCTGGAAGGATTCTATTGTGAGTCTTCAGACCACAAAAGCATTGCCTTTGTTGTCAGAGGACTTGGGAATTACAAGTAGATGCATTGAAGCTGTTGCCTCAAAAGTCTTAAGCCACCCCTCAAAGGTTAGTTTGTCACATAGTCATTCCAGAAGGGTGAGGGATGATATATCTTGCAATGGGACCGAAAGCCTTAGACATAAATCAGCAAACAAAGGATGGTGGGCTGAAGATTTAGCAGAACTGAGCATAGACCTCTACTGGAGAACCATGGTAGCAATTAAATCTGGTGGGAAGATACCTTCAAATCTCATTGGTGATGCATTGAAGGTTTATGCATCTCGATGGCTACCAAATATTACAAATAATGGATATCCCAAGAAGCAAGGTGCTTCTGACTCAGACTCAGACTCGGCGAGTGAAATAACTTCAAAGCATCGTCTGCTATTGGAATCAATAGTAAGCTTGCTTCCAGCAGAGAAAGGGGCTGTTTCTTGTAGCTTTCTTCTTAAACTCTTGAAGGCATCCAATATTCTTAATGCTTCTTCCTCTTCAAAGATGGAATTAGCCAGAAGAGTAGGACTTCAATTGGAGGAAGCCACAGTGAATGATCTTTTAATACCCTCACTATCTTACACAAATGATACGCTGTATGATGTTGAGTTGGTGATGACTATATTGGAACAATTTATGTTGCAAGGGCAGAGTCCCCCAACAAGCCCTCCAAGATCCAGGTTGGCCTTTGAAAGAAGGAGGTCTCGTTCGGCAGAGAATATTAACTTTGAGTTCCAGGAGAGTAGGAGGTCCTCTTCAGCATCTCACAGTTCAAAATTGAAGGTGGCAAAGCTTGTGGATAGGTATCTTCAAGAAGTTGCCAGAGATGTGAATTTTCACTTGTCGAAATTCATTGCTCTTGCTGAAATTATACCAGATTTTGCAAGACTTGATCATGATCATCTCTACAGAGCTATTGACATTTATCTTAAGGTAAAATATTCGAAGAAAAATGTCTATTCTGTTTTCCAAATTAATTCATTCTATACTATGACAAAAATAAGTAAAAAAGAAAAAAAAAATCAGTGGCTGAATAAATTTCCCTTTCACATTTTTGAATGTGTGACAATTAGTGGATAACCAACTCTCTTGACCTTAAAATCTTGTCTTATTTAACATTTCTTGGCGGTTAGGTGTGAACTGACCCACCAGAAATTTAGCCTGACTGTTTCTGACTGATATAGTTGCAGTGTGTATTCTGGTGTTTGTATTTTCATTTGGCGAAAATCATGAAGAAAAATTTGCCTGTCAAATCTGTGATAGAATTAAATCATATTGCTACGACTATGTCCAGTAGATAGGGAGAAAGGAAAAAGGAGATACATGTTCTGTAGTCCTTCAAATGATTGATTGTGTGTCTCCCCTATTTACCAAGACAGATTTTGACCATTTATGTGTTCACTCCATGTAGCTAAATTCCACCTCAAAGAACTCTTCAATGATGTAACAGGTCTGGTTGTCAGTTCAGTCAAACTAGTACTAGTAGAAATTGTAAAATAGGGTATGGAAGAAAGAAATATACGTAAAATTTCTGGCTTGCTGGGATGTCTTGTATTACTAAAATTTATGTGTTGTTTTTAACTGGTAACATACAGGCTCATCCAGAACTCAACAAGAGCGAAAGGAAAAGACTATGTCGAATTCTTGACTGCAAAAAACTGTCCATGGAAGCCTGCATGCATGCAGCACAAAATGAGCTACTCCCTCTACGTGTTGTTGTCCAAGTTCTCTTCTTTGAGCAAGCTCGAGCAGCAGCAGCTGGTGGCAAAGTGACTGACTTGCCAAGCAATCTCAAAGCATTACTCGCTACTCATGGTATTGACCCATCAAAACATAAAGCACCATTAAGCACTACTACAAGTATACATGCTGAGGATAATTGGAGTGTCTCTGGCTTCAAATCACCAAAGTCAAGGTCTTCAACTCTGAGGATGAAGCTAGCTGAGGATGATGACTTAGATGAAAATGATTTCCCCCACGATGGAATTGGGAGAAACTCTAGATTTAAGGCTTTCTGTGCTCTTCCTACCCAACCCAAAAGAATGCTTAGTAAGTTGTGGTCTACCAATAGAACTGCCACTGGAAAGAATTGAGTGAATTCTGTTAATTTTCCAGTTGGTAATGGTAATTTAGAGGGGTAGCATATACTCAATGTTTCTTTCTGCAAAATGCCTTGTAACATCTAGGAAAATCAAAGAATCTAAATGTCCATTGTTGATGTAACCTATAATAATAAGAAAAGATTTTTCTCAACATGAGGAAATCTCTTTGGTAATTTTCATACGTCAAAAGCTGGAATAGGAATCTTAGGTGTCAGTGACAAATCGTGGGGCCAATGGTGCTGCGTTTGTCTACAAATATGCAACATCTGTCTATTGTCTTTTTACTGTAGCTCCTTCTGTCCTGACCTTATTGACAAAAAATTTCGTATTTTCATGTGTCTCTGACGCAATGCAATACTGTAATATCCGATTATATTTGTCTCTATATATTTGTATCCACACGGATTCTTATTGAATTGATATCCAATTATGAACAAGATTTGAAGTATTGTGGCACATAATTAAGGTCAAACATGTATTTAATTTTCTTTTCTTTTCTTTTTTGGAAGAGACTTGTCATTGATCCATCATCCTGTGAAACAATCCAGTGTTATCAATGGTATCAAAGCTAATGCAATACAAAGCCGACCCAGAAGTAGATCAAATAAACAAGAAAGAATAAGATCTGGCATTGATATGTTTGCTAAGTAGCATTATTAAAACAAAGACCACTTAAAACTACATGGGGTATTTGATCTACATGAGTCAGCATGGTTCCTTTCAAATAACCACTTACATAAATCTCTTATGTATCTGTATTGACTAACCTAAGCAAAATCCACCATAACGGCTAATATGGCTACTCCATTAAAAGCAAAATCTTCTTGGCATTTATAATAGCCCATCTTAATTAATTAGTAAATCAAGTGTAATTAATTAATTAAACATATTTTAGTGAGTGAAATTAAGTATAAGGCTTAATTAAATGAATCTGAGTCACTTTGGAGTTAAAAAGTGTACTCAGTGAAAATTAAGGGGTATAAATGGGTACTGGCAAAAGTACCCAAAATATAAAAATAAAAATAGTAATATTCCTAGAATAATATTCCAGACTTTTGGGTAAAGTTTGGTAATTATTGGGGTTGAATAGATAGACGAACCAATACCCGCTTAAAGCCACTTAACCTATGTTAAGTGACTAAAAGCCAAAATGAACCCCCATTTCCCACCCATTTCGTCGAGCCAGAAACAGAAAGAAGGAGAAGAAGAAGGAGAAAGAAGAGGAAGGAAGGGAGGAAGAGAGAGAGAGAGATCAAACCTTGATGGTTTTGGATGATTCAAAAGCCTAAATCGCTTAGAATCTCGCCCTCTTTCATAATCCTAGCTTTGTTTTGAGTGGGGAGCATTGTGGAGAGAGATATTACCTCTCAAAAATTCGGCCCTTTGGTGAAAATTGGGGTTTTGAGAGTTTCTACCTCCATTGAAGCTTGAGGAGCCATCAATCCTTGGTTGTGTGACCATTGGTGGTAAGATTCTAACCCTTGAACCTCATGATTCCTAGAAATTTGCATGAGTTAGGGTTTGTGAATAGTAAATTGGGATTTTTATGAAATGTAGTCGAATTAGCTATGTTCTAGGAAGAATGGAGCTTAGAGCATGTTATGGAAAATGCTAGGAATGTCATTTAATCGGTGGAAATGAGCCTAGATAGTCATTTGATAATTGTTCATAATATTGGAAAATTCATGCTTGGATTGGTTAGTATTCTAGCATGTTGAACAATTAGTGAGTTGAATGATTGATTGGATCCTTGTGATGTCTAGGATTGAGACATTTGGACCAACCGTGAGTGATCAACCATTGGAGCAAGCTATGGAGCTTGAATAGCTCATTGGAATTGGTAAGCTCATACTTGGGTTGTGCTTTGAATTGAGTAATTGATGGTTGATTGTGAAATACTCTTGGATGCAATGTGTTGATTGCATTACACCATGTGTAGGTGTTGGTTTTGGAGTAGAGTATTGTTGACATTGGTGAAGAACAAAGGTCGACTGAAGCATTGAGGTAAGCCTTCGGACCTTGGGTGTAATTCCCTTGACTGTTCTACCAAGCCCTGAAAGGGTGGAGGTTGTGATTGTGTATATAAATGCAATAAAATAGTGTAATGCTTTGTTATACGTATGTGTATGCATTTGGTGTGGCATAGGATGGTGTTTCCCTATGTTGGTATGTTGCATGACGATGCGTAAATCATACTTGGTAGTTAGCTGGCCAGTAGGACTATTTGCATCTGAGTTTCCTTAGGACAGCTTGAGAGCTCGAGGGATTTCTCCTGGAGATGTATTGCACTTTGCATAGATATGTATTTACTGCATTATTATTGTTATTGCTATTACACTGATATGGAACTGTGGGGTGGAGAGATGCTCCAAGGACCCCTGGTTTACTGGATATATTCGTATATCTCACCCCGTGTTGTGGGGACCCCCTTTCAGGTAAGGATGCTGCAGGAGCCTCTGGTGGCAAGTGGCCATATCTGGATTATGCATGAAATATGGCATTTCTTTGAGTTTATGCATGCCTTTTGTAGTTGACATGTATAGGATTTTATTTTGAAAGCCCATGATCATATGTATATCTTGATTCATTGGATGAACTTAGCCTATGCTCATGCCTTTGGTTACACCTATTGTTGATGGGAGCCAAGGGAATGATCATAGTGTTTTGTAAGCTAAGTTCTATGAATTGTAAAGGATATGTAATGTAAATGATGTCTACTTGGAATTCAATATATGCATGCTTGTTATGTATTGAGTTGTTGAATTGGGTGGGCTGAAAATCAATTAGGTACCCTTTTGTTTAAACTGGTAAACGATGAGAAAACAAAGGTCATGCTGCCCAAATTCTAGCTAAATCTCATGAGGAGAGGTTGGATGAGTGCTAGGATTTAGTTTTGGGGCATGGACATTTGGGGTTTGTAATGGGGATGCATTTTCCCCTAGGCTTGGACTTGAGAAATGTGGGAATTGGAATTCCCTGGCAGCGCGCTTAAGCGCCCAGGAGCGCGCCCAAGCGCCCTGCTGCCCCTGCGAGTGCCAATGCATTCTGCCTCCTCGCGCTGGAGCGCCCAAGTGGGGGCTTAAGCGCCCAGGATTGCGCGCTGGAGCGCCCTGGCGTGCGCTTAAGCGCCCTTTACTGCAGAAAGTTGGGTGGCTTACTGCCCCCTCGTGTTTTAGCGCCCAGGGTGGGGCTTAAGCGCCCAGGGTTGCGCGCTTGAGCGCCCTGGTCCGCGCTTAAGCGCCCTTCGCCACTGAAGGAGGAGATGCTTCTGTCTCTGCGCGCTAAAACGTCCCAGTGGGAGCTTGAGCGCCCAGGCTAGCGCGCCTGAGCGCCCTGTTGCGCGCTTAAGCGCCCATCCACACTGGAAATGCTGATGCTTACTGCCTCCGTGCGCTTAAGCGCCCAGATGGAGGCTTTAGCGCCCGATAGCGCGCGCTTGAGCGCCCGGTAGCGCGCTGAAGCGCGCGGGGCCTGTGACCAACACTCTCTTGTGTTGCTTCAAATTGTCCTAACTTGGGCTACAGTGCTCCGATTTGAGCACGGTTTGAAGCCACAGGTAGCTAATGAAGAAACCTACAATATAGTAGAAGTATTGAACTAAACAAGAAGTAAATTAATGGTTTAAAAATGGGAAATGAACATGATGTTAAGCTTAATTTATCTGTTTCCGCAAGGTAATATGGTTATGATCACGAAATTGGGTATTATAAGTTCGGTACGTTTTAAAATGAAAAATTTATCCGGATTTTAATTGAACCCATGTGATTGTAACTGCGCTTAATATCATAATGCGATGTTAACAAACCGGTTCTAGAACGTATAGTTGTTTTAGTACTCTGTATGATTATTGCATTTGTGATCACTAAGTGTGGGCCTGATCAACTCACTTCTTTGTGTAACATGTGTAGTGACATGACGAGGAACCGAAACAACCCCGGACCATCAAACACCAATGCTCAGCCAGAACCTGTTTTGGCTGCTCTTGTGAGGCCTAGAAGTGGCCGTGGGGCAACGGGCGTACAGCCTGATCCCGTGGCTGAAGCTCTTGCAGCCGTTCAGAGAGAGTTGGCTGCTAGCAGGCAAGCCAATGAAAATTTGTTAAAGACAAATGAAGACTCGCGGACTGCTATGGCCGCGATGATGACCGAGCTGAGGACGTTGAGGGGTCCTAGGCCCGTGAACCGGCAACCCACTCCTCCTCCTCACACTGCTACGCCTTCTCCACCTCCTTCACAGGAAGAGGGTGGAGTGGGTAACAATGAGGGTGAAGGTAGTCACCACTCCGGAAGTCGGAGTCATCACACTGAGGTTCGTCAACCTCAAGTTGAAAATGTCGGTGATCATGAAATGGAGGAAAGGAGATTGATGGCTTTCCGAAAACATAAACCTCCTTCTTTTAAGGGAGGTTATGAGCCAATGGCGGCTGCAAAATGGCTCCAAGCTATGGAGAAGATATTCAGGGTGATGAGGTGCCCTGACGCAATGAAGTTGGCTTACTCTGTTTATATGCTGGAAGAGGAAGCAGAAGATTGGTGGACAAATACCGTGCAGCCATTAGAAGCTGAAGGTCGGGAGATCACATGGCGGTTATTCGAGACATTGTTCTTGGATAACTACTTCCCTAGAGAGGCTAGGGAACAAAAGCAGAATGAGTATAACGATCTCAAACAAGGGTCGATGTCTATTGACCAATACTTCTCAAAATTCAATGAGTTGGTGAAATACGCCAACTATGGGCGAGCCTTACCCACCCCGGCTGAAATGACCTCCAAGTTCCAATGGGGTCTTAATGAGAAGATGTCTCGGAAGATGTCAAATTGTGACATCCGAGAGTTCAGTCGGTTTGTAAACCAGTGTAGAAAGGTGGAAGAAGTGTATAAGGTGTCCCAAACCAAGAAGTCTTCTGAGGCCCAGGCACCTAGTTCCAATAAAGCAACGGGCTCAGGTTATTGGAAGAACAGGAAGGTGCAAGGCAAGAAGCTGAATGCGAATAAGCCCTTTGACTTGTTCAAAAAACCCGGTACTCAGAAGAAGTTTGTTGATAGAGGACCTCCTCCCAAGTGCAAGGGATGTGGCAAAGAGCATAGAGGTCCATGTGCTACTGGTGAGGTGATTTGCTTTAAATGTGGAAGATCCGGTCACTACTCCAGGCAGTGTCCTCAGAATGAAGCAAGGACTATGGCAGTTCAAGCTACTGCTGTTCCGGTCTCTGTTGTTCAACCTATGCTAGAGTCTCAGACGGTTGGTAGAGTATATACCATGGACCGTCAACAATCGGAGAAGGCTCCGAATCTAGTGAAAGGTACAATTTACATTGATAATATGGATGTTGAAGTGTTGTTTGATTCAGGAGCTACACACTCCTGTATGTCTGATTTTAT